GAAGTCATAAAGAAGAAGCAGGCGAACTTGCTCCTTAGTAAGAGGGTAGGGCTGGTTCATGGCTGGAGAGCACCAGGGCTGTAATAATATACGGTTGTATGCCGAAGGACACGACCTACTTATAAACACACGCAGAACATTCTAGCATGCTCTGGAAAAAAATTGTACTGGATATTCAAGAAATTCCGAGAACTTTCTTTCCAATCAGATAGTTATCTTTACAGTTATAGGCCATCTTTATAGTAATCTGCGATGTCACTACCGACAAATGGCAAGCTCTAGCGGTAACTGCATGAACCAGTTAATGCTCCCCTTGTGTACAATCGATTCACATCTATAACTCCTACTCGTTCATATATTCAGTGCTTCTATCAAGTTCTTAATGGAAATAGCCTGATAGAGTTGTCATTAGTTGCACATCTGAGGTTTCCCCCTTTCTCGAGTCTTGGCAAAAGGTACTATCTGGTCTGCTGTCTCTTCCCCAGTATATAATACTTGCTTTTCTAACCTCCTGCAGTCGTTCATTGATCGCCGTAACGCACCTATACTGGAAGAACGTTTTCCAGAGAATTCCGAGCACTGTAAAGGCAATAATGTTGTGGGATGCGCGGATGAGGCGACCTTCTTTCATACTGGCAACGATGGATTCCTTCAATTCCTGCATTGAGATGGATTCTTCGGAAGTGCCATTTTTAATTACAATAAGTAAACCGGCCGATAATATTCGACATAGGAATTCCCCACTTGAAAGAGGGAAAAATGCTCAGCTTCACTCTTGCAATTGGTTCGTAGGACTATTAAAGTGATTTGCATGTCATGCACCCTCTGCTTCAATGCTGGAGCAGGTAGGCGATCGCATGCCTGTCCACTAACATTTCAGAGGTTTCACAAATGACGAAGCTTGCGTGGAATTGAGAAGAGCTGAATTGACAATTTCAGAATGCATTCATGTGAATTTGACGCAATCACGGATTATTAAGACGATACCTTTAATAGGAGTATCTACGGAAAAACCAGCGCAGAACATATTTGAGGTGAGGGTACGAGTGACGCTGGGGTCTCCCGTGAAATTGCGGGTGTCCCGAACACATTTGCGATTGGATATCACTGGGAGTTGAACCTCTGTCAGGACAGCGGCGAGTTCATCCGATCCGTCATAACCCCAACCAGCCACCTACATCATTACGCAATCGAATAAGAAGGCATGCAACAAGTACACTGAAGGTTAAACTCTAGGCAGAGATATTAAGATATTTGGTGTCTTACCCATCCTGGCACTCCACTGTCGAGGTTCGCCTCAGATAAATCAAATCGGATTGGGAGACATACCAACTGAACTCGCGCCGTCAGCACAGCAGGTCTTCTTAGTTTCAATAAAGCTATATCCGAGTCGTAGTTATTATAAAAGTTGAATTCCTTGTGCAAGATTATGTGAGACACCTGCAAGGAGATAGCGAAAGTTTGCATAATCAGGAAAGAATGGATGGAAATTGGAAAATGTTAGGCTACTGAACTTGTCTGATCTGTACGTGTTCGTCTTTTTTGATGTAAGATCGGAAATGCTTCCCAAGGTAAACAAAAATTTCTTCAGAGTGCCGAGTTCTTATGGTACCATCTACAACGACACAATGGGCAGCTGTTAGCACCCATTCTTCCCTAATGAGAGCCCCTCCACATATAACATCTCCAATCTTGATGTCATAAATGGCCGCTTGCCATGGCCATTCTCCAATTTCAGATGGATTTCCTCCTGCGGATAGTTGAATTTGACTTGCCTTCTTTCCGCATACTGCGTATAGAACGGTACAAATAGAGTCATTCGGAAATAGCAGAGATGTGTCAGGTGAATAGGGAATATGGTAGTAAAAGAAATCGACCTGGCTTACAAAACGGGGTGGGTCCGGTCCATTCTCCATCCTCTGCACATCTTCTGAATTCCGGTCCCTGCAGTTCATAATATTTCTCGCATCTGTATCTAACGATGCTCGAAATTGCATAGGTTTCATCTTGAATGCAGCTAGCATTGCTTCTTTTAGCAATCTCTTCAGATGGGCTGCCACAAGACTCGATAGTAAAGGATCCATGTTGAGTGGTGCTGAGTTGTCCGCATCCGATCACTCCGCCTGTTGGCGAAAAAAGATAGTTATTGTTATGACTGGAGCAGCATTGAATGCATCCACTGAGTTCGACTAATATACCGTCTGTGATTTTGCCTGTTTCCATAAATTGCATCTGCATGGTTTTTCCCTCATTATTTTCCATGAGTTTCTTTAAGAGTTTAAGGACTCCTGGATATATGACCAGTCAACATAATTGCTGGGGAGTTGTTGCCTCTCTATAGCAATAGGTACCTTAGGATTCAGTTTTCTTCACTACAAAGACCGTTAATGAATTTCATCATGCGGCCATATCATGTATGAAATGCACTTATTTTCTGTCAGACTCAGAAGATTAGACGGCTGAATTTCTAACTATTTGATCAAAGAGAATACTGATGGCGCTCTGATATTTTGTATCGCAAAAGAAAATGCTCAGGTTAACGGGATTTTGTAGTGAAATTCCAATTTTGATGAATAGGATGACACGATTCTGAAGTTTATAACAGAAAAATGACCTCAAAAAAGTGTGCATGGTTAAATATTTTTCAATTCCATATAAATCCGAATACCTAAATTACTCTGAACTGATATGAACGCCATGTACCAGTCTATCACACTGGAAAACGAACTCTCCCTTGAAAAGAATAGAAAAATTGTGTAGATACAATAAGGAGATTATCCTCTCTGAAGCTTGATTTGCTTGCCGTCAATCTCAAAGCAAACCTGGCATCGATTGAGGACTGAGCGACAGGCCTTCTGAAATATATCCTGAGGGATGGTGTCGAACTCCTTAATGATTTTTTTACGTAAGCGCTCGCAGGAGAAAAGGAAAGTAAGAAAAGCATTAATTGTGCGAGCGAAGACATTTCTTTGTCTCTGAATTTCTCCCAGATGCAAGTCGTGCCGGATTTGTCACGGGGAAGTACGGAAATCCGCTTTCGAGGCGCTCGATTCGATCGAGCCCGTGTTCTTCGTTGGAAGCGGGACGGCTCGGGACAGATTCTCCTTGTTCCGGATGCCCCATGACGGTCTCGAACTGAGAACCGCAGAAACGCCACACTCTCGCGTGTGACTTTCCGACCGACGATCGCACTCTACGGGAGGGGAGGGAAGAAGAACAAACAGGGCCAGCCAGAGGACAGGGATGCGAATGATGAAATTCAATAGGATTAAACGGATCTCACCTATTAACTTTGGTGAAAATGCCATACTGCCCAGGGCGTCTCATGGAACAAGCACCTTTCTGGAAAAAGTGACTCACGATCCCTTCTATCGTCCAGTGGCCGTCATGCGATGTATTGGAGAAGAAGACCATGGGACTCCCCGAATCCCCTTTACAAACTGTTCGAAAATCTGCGCAGAACAAATCATCATGATTATTGCTTTATTCATTTTCAAAAGATATTGCAGTGAAGAATCAGTGGTACAAAAAATGCAAGAAGAAATCTAATGATATTACGCAACTTGACGTTTACCCATTTGTGTAGTTACCCTTACAGTTATAGGCCATCTTTATAGTAATCTGCGATGTCACTACCGACAAATGGCAAGCTCTAGCGGTAACGGCATGAACCGGTTAATGCTCCCCTTGTGTACAATCAATTCACATCTATAACTCCTACTCATTCATGTATTCAGTGCTTCTATCAAGTTCCTTATGGAAATAGCCTGGAAATAGCCTATCAAGTTCTTTATGGAAATATGGAAATAGGAAAAGGAAATACAGTTGTCATTTGTTGGACATCTGAGGTTTCCCCCCTTTTCCGAGTCTTGGCAAAAGGTCCTATCTGGTCTGCTGTCTCTTCCCCAGTATATAATACTAGCTTTCCTAACCTCCTGCAGTCGTTCATTGATCGCCATAACGCGCCTATACTGGAAGAACGTTTTCCAGAGAATCCCGAGTACTGCAAAGGAAATAAAGTTGTGGGATGCGCGGATGAGGCGACCTTCTTCATATTGGCAACGATGCATTCCTTCAATTCCTGCATTGCGATGGATTCTTCGGAAGTGTCATTTTTTATTACCATAAGTAAACCGACCGAGAATATTCGACATTGGAATTCCCCACGCGAAAGAGGAAAAAATACTCAGCTTCACTCTTGCAATTGTTCGTAGGACTCTTAAAGTGATTCACACTTTGCATATTACGCACCCTCTGCTTCAATGCTGGGGCGGGTAGGCGGACGCACCCCTGTCCACTAACATTTAAGAGGTTTCCCAAAGGACGAAGCTTGCGTGTGGAATTGAGAAGAGCTGAATTGCAATTTCAGAATGCATTTATGCGAATTTGACGCAATCATGGATTATGAAGACCATACCTTCAATAGGAGTATCCACGGAAAAACCAGCGCAGAACATATTTGAGGTGAGGGTACGAGTGACGCTGGGGTCTCCCGTGAAACGAAGGGTGTCCCGAACACATTTGCGATTTGATATGACCGGGAGTTGAACCTCCGTCAGGACAGCGGCGAGTTCATCCGATCCGTCATAACCCCAACCGGCCACCTGAATCATTACGCAATCGAATAAGAAGGCATGCAACACGAATACTGAAGGTTAAATTCTAGGCAGAGATATTAAGAAATTTGGTGTCTTACCCATCCTGGCACTCCACTGTCGAGGTTTGCCTCAGATAAATCAAATCGGTTCGGGAGACATACCAACTGAACTCGTGCCGTTAGCACAGCAGGTTTTCCTAGTTTCAATAAAGCTATATCCGAGTCGTAGTTATTATGTACGTTGAAGTCCCTGTGCAAGATTATGCGAGACACCTGCAAGGAGATTGCGACAGTTTGCATAATCAGGAAAGAATGGATGGAAATTGGAAAATGTTAGGCTACTGAACTTGTCTGATCTGTACGTGTTCGTCTTTTTTGATGTAAGATCGGAAATGCTTCCCAAGGTAAACAAAAATTTCTTCAGAGTGCCGAGTTCTGATGGTACCATCTACAACGACACAATGGGCAGCTGTTAGCACCCATTCTTCCCTAATGAGAGCCCCTCCACATATAACATCTCCAATCTTGATGTCATAAATGGCCGCTTGCCATGGCCATTCTCCAATTTCGGATGGATTTCCTCCTGCGGATAGTTGAATTTGACTTGCCTTCTTTCCGCATACTGCGTATAGAACGGTACAAATAGAGTCATTCGGAAATAGCAGAGATGTGTCAGGTGAATAGGGAATATGGTAGTAAAAGAAACCAACCTGGCTTACAAAACGGGATGGGTCCGGTCCATTCTCCTTCCTCCGCACATCTTCTGAATTCCGGTCCCTGAAGTTCATAATATTTCTCGCATCTGTATCTAACGATGCTCGAAAATGCATAGGTTTCATCTTGAATGCAGCTAGCATTGCTTCTTTTAGCAATCTCTTCAGATGGGCTGCCACAAGACTCGACAGTAAAGGATCCATGTTGAATGGTGCTGAGTCGTCCGCATCCGATCACTCCGCCTGTTGGCGAAAAAAGATAGAGTTGTTGTTAAGACCGGAGCAGCATTGAATGCATCCACTGAGTTTGACTCATATACCGTCTGTGATATTGCCTGTTTCCATTAATTGAATCTGCATGGTTTTTCCCTCATTATTTCCCATGGGTTTCTTTAAGAGTTTAAGGATTCCTGGACATGTGACCAGCCAACATTTTTGTTAGGTAGTTGTGCCCTCTCTATAGCAATAGGTTCCTTAGGATTCAGTTTTCTTTACGACATTGTCGCGAATAAATTGCACCATGCACCCATATCATTTATGAAATGTACTTATTGTCTGTATGACTCAGAAGATTTGATGGTTCAATTTCTAACTATTTCATCATATAATATGAGTTGCTACCCAAAAGTTCTAGAAATTTATTTATTAAAAAATAGCATTTATTTATTAAAAAATACAGAAAAAATTAGTGGTCTTCATCACCTTCAAAATAGTCCCCCCCCAGGATGATTGAAATGGTCCCAGCGAGATTTTAATGCTCGGAAACACCGCTTAAAGTCATCTTTTAATTCCTTCAAAACATCCTGCGATGTGGTTTGGATCTCCTCTATCGTGTTGACTCTCTTCCCCCTGAGCTTTAATTTCATTTTCGGGAACAATAAAAAATCACAGGGGGTGAGGTCGGGTGAGTAGGGAGGGAGGGGAATGACCGTCGTGTTCGTGGAAGCCAAAAATCGCTGAATAAAGAGTAATATGTGAGCGGGGCCATTGCCATGGTGCAAGACCCAGGATTAATTGGCCCACATCTCAGGACGTTTCCGCAGAACATTTTCTTGCAGCCGCCTCAGAATCTCATAGTAGAATAACCCATTTACTGTCTAGGTAGGTGGAACAAATTACTTGTGGATAATGCCTTTGATGTCAAAAAAAAACAAATCAACATTGACTTGATGTTGCTTCGAACTTGGTGCACCTTTTTTGGTCTCTTATCATTGCTGGCATACGAAGGACGCCCGGAACGTTCATCATCTATAATGGATGTGCGACCGCTTTTTAATCGCTTAAACCATTCGTAGGTTTGCATATGACCCATTGCTTCATCACCAAAAGATTTTCTCAACATTTGGTGAGTTTCAGCTGCCGTTTTGCCGAGTTTGAAGCAAAATGTAATGCACACCCTTTGATCGTTCACTTCACTCATTTCGAAATCGCAAAAAAGCACTGTGTAAACAAACGCGATAACCAACAACGACGAAAACTTGTAGACTGACTCTCAAGGAGTGCAGCAAGCAGTATCTAGCGGCAGAGCGCAGTACTATAACCGGTTCGCGCGGGACATTCAAATTTAGGGAACTTTTGGATAGCACCTCGTATCTAGTACTATCTAATACTAGCGAGTTTGTTTGCCCGAAGGGCAAACAAACTCGCTATGGTCGCGCCTTCGGCGCCCTATTACCTTGGATAGTGATCATTTCATTTATTCTTTTCGAAATGGCAAACACGTATTTCAAGTACGTCCCCATTGAAATACGTGACATATTGAGTCGAAAGTCTTGATTTTTTATCAAAATCATTACCTCTATGATTATATGTGTGCCTGTCTTCCTCTTTCCTCAGCAAGGAAACACCAGTGAAAAACACACACCAAATGTATTTGAGATTTTACACCACTGCAACAGATCCATGTGAAAGAGAGAGGCAGGGAGCTTGCAGCGGGCACTGACAATTTTTTTAAAGCGCAAACGTGGCATGGACGTGCATACCGACACGATGAGATAAGGAAAAATGCAAAAATTGTATCCATCCCCTGGGGGCATGGATCCAGCAAAACGGAGAGTGCTAGAAAGTCTAAACTTGGCAAAGAAGTACCTGATGACTAGCTGAGTAAAGACATAATTCTACTTTCATCTTGGCATGGACGTGCCTACCGAGATGATGAATTCAGGAAAAAGGAAAAATTTTAGATCCATGCCCTGGGGGCTAATTTTTTGAGCCGACGTTTTCAAGCATTTTTCTGGTCCTGGCGTATTAAGCTAGTGTGGAAATATGAAAGTTGGTACATAACTTCCTATTGGGATGCTGCAGAAAACTTCAGACTTTAGGAGTAAATACCCTGGGGTCACAAATTTCAAAGGGATATGTTTTTAGTTAATTTTTTTGCATCAGTTAAACTGATGAACATGGAAAGCTGAAACTTTCCATGAATGTGACTACTGAGATAAAGAGTTAAAGAAAAATGTTAAGTCTCGATACATCTCCTAGGGAATTTTTTCGAGGGCGATGTTTTGGAAAAAAATTGTTGTGACGATTTGGACAGAAATGGAAAAGTGAAACTTGGCACACGTATAAGTGACATGATATTACTGAACTGAGGGAGTATTGAGCTTTCATGGGGCATACCCTCCGGACATGGCTTTTGGGTGGGTCGGCTTTTCCAAATGCATTTTTTCCGCCGGCAAAAAGGGGAAACGTATAAGGCTGAAATTGGGTGGCATGGCGTTCCCTGAGTCTACATTTCAAAATAAAAAATTTTTTCATTCAATTCCATTATGACACTTTTTTTCAGTCCCAATTTCCTGATTTTTTTTATTCAACAAAACAGAGACAGAAAATTTAAACTTCCCTCAGAAGTATCTGTTTGTTGGCTGAGTAGAGGAAAAATCCTAATTTTGACATATGTCTCCTTAGCGTATAGTATGAGAGGGAAGTACTACAAAATATATTTCCACCCTTACAATAAGTGTCACAAGAAAAGATTTCAAGTTAGGCACACATAGAATCATACAGGTAATGAGTTTGATAAAAATCAAGACTTTCGACCCAAATGTCATGTATTTCAATGGCGACGTACTTCAAATACGTGTTTCCCATTTCGCAAAAAATGAATGAATTAATCACTATCCAAGGTAATGGAGCGCCGAAGGCGCGACCACAGCGAGTTTGTTTGCCCGAAGGGCAAACAAACTCGCTAGTTCATATCTAAGCATTACGCTGTCATCTATTCCACTATATGATACAGAGTGCCCATGCCGATTCTGTCCCATTCTTCCAGCAGAAATCTGTCCAATTCGTCGAGGTTTCCGTATCTCGACACGCTGTTTGAGAATCGACCAGAGGTTCTCGTTCGGATTGACCTCGGGACAGTTCGACGGCCGGTCGATCGTTTCGGGTACGTCCTCGAATAGGAACTACTTCGTCACTAGATTTCTGTTTGGAATAGTTGCCTTCCTACAATTGCAAGCATCGACCGAACTGCTTTCTGGCAGTACGGTGGAGGTGATCTCGAAGGATTTGAACGTAGTTAGGGCCATCCGTAATTCTCTCGAACGAATGACAGCCGACTAGGCCCATGACACTGAAGCTAACACTGAAAAATCTCTCCAGAAATTTCCAAAGATATGCTTCCAGAAAGTTAACGCAGGCGAAGGGAAGGGACTTGTGCATCTTAATGTATACTACCCTGAAAGGATATGAACGTCATAGGCCAGTCCATGGCACTGGAAAATGGACTCTCCCTTGAATACAATTTCGCGTGACCAGCCAGAAAGTCGACAGTAGGTTGCAGCTTCCTTGGTAAACGTAGCAAAGCGTGTCCTATACAGTATACAAATTTAATTGCAGTGAAGCTTATTGTGCTCTTCCACTCGGTTCCTGCTGAAATCTTATCGACTACAAACAATATCCAAAATATATACATTAAAAAATGACGTATGAGCTCCCGTTTCTTAAATGCTTTTTCACTCATGAATTTGAAATGAATTTCATACTTATCTAGATCAATGGTTTCTCTTAGCATAACATCGGGAGAGCTAAGGGAATCTCTGTATACCTCTTTTTTCGTTATAAGTCTGCACTAAAGGATAATCCATAAATTCAATCCGAAATACTTCATCAGAGTATTTGTTCCCCAAATGTTGATTTATTTTAAAGCTGGAGTTTCAGTCGTTCGACTGCATCTGCGGGCAGCGAGGCAAAGCGGTAGAGTCAGAGTGACGTCCATGAATTGCGTGAATGGAATCTTCCAATCCCTGGTCATGAAGGCTCAAACGGAGTTGTCCCAACTTTCAATCCACAGCTGTGGGAACCTTCATTGGAAATCAGGTCAAATTTGCTCGTTTTGATGACCGTATTCAATGCATGGAAATGAGGTTATCCAGATCATCGAAAAAAAGTACGAACCTTCCATTTCACTCATAGCTGGGCATGGAAACAGAAGTTGGGAAACCATATAGGGACCATATAGCTTTAAAGAATGCAACTGGACACGTTACCTTGAGTTGCGGATGCTGAAACGTTCGATTGACCACCACAGTCTTTCATAGCCAAAACATCCAAATCCTTGAATTCAGTTCCATTGTGGCACTTCCCAGAAATACTCGTAAGAAATTTCTGATTGAGAACCAGCCATGCTATGTCACAATCGCATCGGATAGGATTGCCTGGAATAGAGACACGACGGAAATAGCAAAGAAGCAGTGTAACGAAGTGANCCATGCTATGTCACAATCGCATCGGATAGGATTGCCTGGAATAGAGACACGACGGAAATAGCAAAGAAGCAGTGTAACGAAGTGAAGAATGAATATGATAACATGGTAAGAAATCGTGAAATTCACCTGGTAGCGTGAGGACTCCATCTCCCTTCGAGAGGATGTGCAATATTGGGCGGAAACTCTCCTCAGACAAGACAACAATTTCGTTGTTGGTAAGTTGAACCTCGGTATTAGGTCCTAGACCTGGAATGCAAATAATATACCCAATGCCATGATCTAACTAGAAACTGTAATGCTTCTTTCGAGCATGCCAAGGATGGGACGTTTTGCAGCCGACGCCTGGAAGTCATAAGAAACGAATTGGAAAGTTCAGATTCACTTTGAGAAAGTGCCTTGGGACACAAAGTTATGGTGTTGGGCCAAAGGATTGTCTCTGCATCAGGATCGGCTAAGCTTGAATGCCTCAAGTAAGGGTATTTTCTCCCATATACAAAGATTCTCAATCCAATGAGAACCAAGAAACCTCTTCCTATGGATACATTGCCGGAAGTACGCAAATGACCTCAATCATTCAAAGCGTTATTCTGAATCTTGTTTTTTTGTGTGTTTCTGCCCGAGGTGCATTATCTTTATTTTTTGATCCAACGAAACAGAGAACGGTAGAAAGTTGAAACTTGGAGAAGAAGTACCTGTCAGATACTGAGTACAGAAAATATCCTATTTTTAAGATATGTCCATCAGCGCAGTTTATGGGGAGGAAGTATATCAACATTTATTTTTCACTCTGACAAATGAGGGCATATGAAACATTCTGAAGTTAGGCACACAATAGATTAATGAAGTAACAATTTCAATTAAATCAAATTCATGTTACGTCCCCTCATGATTATGAACATTTGAATATTTCAAACGAACTACTTTTATACTAGGTAATATAGTGAACCTCCGCACTAGTACCGTACGAGTACCGTAAGTTACCAAAACTTTATAATTACGAATGTCTACCCTCTCATGTCCTCTCTACGAGGTCACTCTTGTCCTCCTATTAATAGTTTTTTCGATATAGCACGCCATGTCCTGTCGGTTATGCACTGCAGTTTTTTTCTCCAAGAGTACTTCAAAAGCTTGTTTGCCGAGTTCTCCATTACCCCGGAGCTAGGAGAACTCCTGCAAAGTTTCGGAGTGCTCGATGGTGAGTTAGGAGTACCTCTTCCCGCACTCTGGTTGTTAGTACTTTTAACCTCATGAGGATTGCAACAGGAGGATTACCTCATGAGATACCAGCGAATCTCGTGAGAATGCCGTGACACCACATGAGACCTTGGGTTTGTCGTGAGTTTTCTCGGCAGGGTATGCACGTAAAGTTATATCAAAATATGTGGATTCATTTTGGAAATACAGCGGCTTATCCTGTAAGTGTGGTTACAGCAGGTCAGTGTGACCGGCACTCTCGGAAGCGTGAATGCCAGCCTGAGAGGGAACCCTCCGTTCCTCTTTCGCAGAATCCACTGGCAAAGAGCACGACAGCCAGAGACGGAGCCTACCAGTTCTCTTTCACATAAAAGAGTGAATCGTACAGTGTCTGGCCAATGTCACGTGCCTGTGCAAAGAATGACGACGATGTGCGCCTTGGGCTGCTCCTCCGAGTCTGAAAAGGGTTTGAGAAATGTATTTTTATTTTTTTTTGCCGTGTACATATCATGTTTACTAACGTGTCCATCAACCTTGCATGAGGCACAGCGCGGGATTTCGACGTTGGCGCCCGAACAGTTCAGGGCACACTCCCCTGATGCTGTCACGCTTTAAGCTGACTCCTGTATTTCTTGAAAATGGGAATGGATGTATAACTTTGCATAGATGGCACTTCCGTGTATTTCATTTGATGTTTCAGTCAGCCCTCAAAACGACACAACGATAGTGAATAATCTGAACTGACTACCAGTAGCTATAATTGGAAAAATGTTTCAATTGTTGAAATATAGTATTATATTTATGGAAATATAGAAATATAGATATTTACCTTAACTACAACATTAGTGACGCAGGCATGCTAAGAAGATTGTAAAGTTTTTCAGATATAAGTGATCCAACTTTCATATCATGTCCGTACTTATGCTGACCTCATATTCATATTTTATTACACTTCGACATATATTCAGTAAGAAAGGGTTCATACCTGCCCAAAAACTAAGGCCAGCACTCGTATTTTAGATAATGCTTTGTTTTAATAGATTACGGTTCTTCCTTTCATTATTCCGTGCTACGGATGGAGAATGTGATGGAACAGAACTAACCCCAGCAGTAATACAAAGCAGTGGCGTTCAGCGTATGTGCACAAGAAGATGTGGGAAAGTGAACCATTGCATAAACCATTTAAAGGAGAATTAGTTAACTTATATTAGCGCTTCCTGAGGGGAATTAGCGACTCCGATAGCGTACATCATTGACACGAAAAAGTTTCCTTCGCTTCGGCAAAGTTTGAAATTGGATATTTTTTTCAATGCCCATAAACGTACGAGGGTGAGTCAAAAAGTAAAAGTACACCTGCAATCGTGACGTAGAAATACAAGTAGCAAAGTATTTCGCACTGGTTATAATATGAGCGCCGCGAATACCGTGTCAAATGACTTTCCTATCATCCCGTGTGCCTCCCACGGGCATGACAAATGGTGGCTTGATTGCACCAAAGAAGAGATGCGTCCTGTGATCCGTTTTATGGGCGAAGAAGGCGCGAACGGCCCTGAAATTCATCGAAGACGCGGGCAGGACATTACAAGGAGAACGCAAGAATTCCAAGAAACAATGTTCACAAGTGCGTGCGAAAGTTCTAATAAGGAACGACTGGGTTTGAAGACGCTGCGCGTTTGCATCGACAACTCTCGTCGAAGGACGCGTCACACAGTGGACGTGTCGATATCGAGCGTAATGGAGGCCACGATCTGGAAGGACCCTAATCCGAAACAGAACAGAAAAGTGCGACAGATAAGCAACAGCAGCTGTATCGCGCATATCTTCGGCCAGTCTTAAATATCCTTTAGGAGCGTTGTGAAACAAGTGTTTTCATCGTCAGTCCAAACAACTTGATGTGCTCCATTGCTCGTAATTACATTCGGACCAACAGGACCAGTGGTAGTAGACGACTCATCTAGTTTCAAATCTGATTAGCTTAACTTAAAAAAGAAAGAGAATTTTCTGGTATGATCCTAGNAAAGCGTTATTCTGAATCTTGTTTTTTTGTGTGTTTCTGCCCGAGGTGCATTATCTTTATTTTTTGATCCAACGAAACAGAGAACGGTAGAAAGTTGAAACTTGGAGAAGAAGTACCTGTCAGATACTGAGTACAGAAAATATCCTATTTTTAAGATATGTCCATCAGCGCAGTTTATGGGGAGGAAGTATATCAACATTTATTTTTCATTCTGACAAATGAGGGCATATGAAAAATTCTGAAGTTAGGCACACAATAGATTAATGAAGTAACAATTTATATTAAATCAAATTCATGTTACGTCCCCTCATGATTATGAACATTTGAATATTTCAAAACTTGATGAAAATATGATCCATTATATCACGACCTCCGCACTAGTACCGTACGAGTACCGTAAGTTACCAAAACTTTATATTTACGAATGTCTGCCCTCTCATGTCCTCTCTACGAGGTCACTCTTGTGGATACTTATCAAAAAGGCTATATCGTCCCAATATCCTGTCGGTTATGCACTGCATAAAAAAACCATGAGATTCTCATGAAGTTTTCGAACAAACGGCTCAAGAGGTCATGGGACCTCGATCCTCTTGACGACGTTTCAAAGCCTCACGAACAACCACTCAATCCTCATGAGAATGGCGTGAGACCTTGTTAGTACTCCTATAACCTCATGAGGATTGCAACAGGAGGATTACCTCATGAGATACCCGCGAATCTCGTGAGAATGCCGTGAGACCACATGAGACCTTGGGTTTGTCGTGAGTTTTCTCGGCAGGGTATGCACGTAAAGTTATATCAAAATATGTGGATTCATTTTGGAAATACAGCGGCTTATCCTGTAAGTGTGGTTACAGCAGGTCAAACCACATGAGACCTTGGGTTTGTCGTGAGTTTTCTCGGCAGGGTATGCACGTAAAGTTATATCAAAATATGTGGATTCATTTTGGAAATACAGCGGCTTATCCTGTAAGTGTGGTTACAGCCGGTCAGTGCAACCGGCACTCTCGGAAGTGTGAATGCTAGCCTGAGAGGGAACCCTCCGTTCCTCTTTCGTCGAATCCACTGGCAAAGAGCACGACAGCCAGAGACCGAGCCTACCAGTTCTCTTTCACATAAAAGAGTGAATCGTACAGTGTCTGGCCAATGTCACGTGCCTGTGCAAAGAATGACGACGACGTGTGCCTTGGGCTGCTCCTCCGAGTCTGAAAAGGGTTTGAGCAATGTATTTTTATTTTTTTTTTGCCGTGTACATATCATGTTTACGAACGTGTCCATCAACCTTGCATGAGGCACAGCGCGGGATTTCGACGTTGGCGCCCGAACAGTTCAGGGCACAATCCCTTGATGCTGTCACGCTTTAAGCTGACTCCTGTATTTCTTGAAAATGGGAATGGATGTATAACTTTGCATAGATGGCACTTCCGTGTACAGCGTACATCATTAACTCGAAAACGTGAGGAAGCGAAGCCGTTTCAAACTTTAACCTATAAAAAAAGTTACGGGTATTTGCATGCTCCCACTCAGTTTTTCATTTTCATGTGGACGTTAGCACTGCATCTTTATGTTCATCGTTTCATAAAGCGACTGGTTATAATATGAGCGCCGCGAATACCGTGTCAAATGACTTTCCTATCATCCCGTGTGCCTCCCACGGGCATGACAAATGGTGGCTTGATTGCACCAAAGAAGAAATGCGTCCTGTGATCCGTTTTATGGGCGAAGAAGGCGCGAACGGCCCTGAAATTCATCGAAGACGCGGGCAGGACATTACAAGGAGAACGCAAGAATTCCAAGAAACAATGTTCACAAGTGCGTGCGAAAGTTCTAATAAGGAACGACTGGGTTTGAAGACGCTGCGCGTTTGCATCGACAACGCTCGTCGAAGGACGCGTCAATTACAAGGAGAACGCAAGAATTCCAAGAAACAATGTTCACAAGTGCGTGCGAAATTTCTAATAAGGAACGACTGGGTTTGAAGACGCTGCGCGTTTGCATCGACAACTCTCGTCGAATGACGCGTCACACAGTGGACGTGTCGATATCGAGCGTAATGGAGGCCACGATCTGGACGGACCCTAATCCGAAACAGAACAGAAAAGTGCGACAGATAAGCAACAGCAGCTGTATCGCGCATATCTTCGGCCAGTCTTAAATATCCTTTAGGAGCGTTGTGAAACAAGTGTTTTCATCGTCAGTCCAAACAACTTGATGTGCTACATTGCTCGTAATTACATTCGGACCAACAGGACCAGTGGTAGTACACGACTCATCTAGTTTCAAATCTGATTAGCTTAACTTAAAAAAGAAAGAGAATTTTCTGGTATCATCCTTGATCGGGCGCCATATATTGCAGATCGCTCTTAGTCCATGGAGCTCCACTGAGGAGGGATGCAAGTGAGTTTCATGATAGCATCTTCGATTTTCGGGATGCTTCTGAGAATAATTAATCGCGTCCGGTTTCACATGGTGTCCGACCTTCTCCTCTACCTACGTTACACGCTCTTGGATTGCCAATTTACAAATTCCTTCTGAGCATACAATGCCAGCTCGTATCTATCACGGGAAAACAAAAAATGTATGATTCAATGAAATTGATGCAGTTGAAGGAAAATTCGCCGAAACGTATGCTTTCATTCCGTGCGACGTTGGAACACCTGGGTTATCTGAAGAGAATGAAAGCAGAATTCTCACTTACAACGCGAGGTCGCTTTACTCAATGACCAATAGAAGGGAAGATTGTAAATCGTATCCATTAGTGGGTTCTCTGATTAATGCATTGGTTTATGGAATTATTTTTGAGGAAATTTGAGGCTTCTGTTTCCGCGACGAACAAGGAATTATCTGGCAAAAGTCGGTCAGCAAGGTAGGTTTTCCAAAGGAAAGGTCGCAACATTCACCTATGCATTGGTTTATGGAATTATTTTTGAGGAAATTTGAGGCTTCTGCTTCCGCGACGAACAACGAATTATCTGGTAAAAGTCGGTCAGCAAGGTAGGTTTTCCAAAGGAAAGGTCGCAACATTCACCTGCTGGATCAAATGTCCAAAACAGTATTCATGACGACTTTCATGTGGGTATTTTCCATGCCCTGATGTAACGAGGAGTCATACCTGTGATGGCTCCTTGCTCCACTTCGGAAATGTTGTTGCCCCAGAGCGTTACTAGTTTCAAGGCCTTGCTCTGGAATTCCAGTACACCTCGTGAAAGGGTTGGTCCGAGAGTAGACTCTGAACAGTAGAACTCTTCCAGATTCTTCATGCCCTTGATTGCTGCAGAAGGGAGCCCCGACAGAGGATTTCGTGCTACATGAAAGCAAAACGAGATTAATGAGATGAGGAAATGCTGCACGAACAGCTACGCTAATGCTTCATAGAACTGAAATAAAATTGCGCGAACAGTGGCATCGAAGCATTGCATATTACAACTGAATTGAAGAAGGACCTTTTCTTCATTCTCGATAGTGATAGTCGAGGAAACTCGTTGAATCTGTGACATCCCTGCAAATACACATTCTGGAGCACGCAAGAATCATTACTCGTAGATTTTTTCCTGTATGGAGGCTTCGCTCTACTTGCCTTTCAAACGTTTTTTAGAATCATTTCATCTCAAACTAAGCATTAAAATAACAGAGGAATATTGGAATCTACCCATCCTAGTCTATTCTCGAGTCCGAGCGAAATAGGAATATCTCTTTACCTCAACCCTTGTCCGGTTTACCCCTGTAAAATCTGACAAAAAGGTCGGGAGGCATGATGGCGGATCTATATTTCATGGGACTTGGGAAGAGGGAAGGCATTTGGCATCAGCCCGAGTAGAAAATACACAAATGTGTTTCTGAATTTCAACGTTGTGTCTCATTAAACAAAGGATCGACGCAAGTGAAAATATAGAGAAATTATTTAAAGCTGAATGCCCATCCATGATTAATTCTCCCGAATAGAGTCATCCACACCTCCAAATCTCTTGTGCTGCGTTGTTCATAATTTCGCTGAAAAGGTGTTAAATGGTGATTTTAGGAATAGCTCATAAAAATAATGGAAGCCAAAGTTGTCTTTTGAGGAAAGCTTCAGCCTTTGATTCGCTTTTCGCAATTCATTTACTGATCAAGTGGATGGAACCAAACGCGGGAAAGCCTGGCGGGGGGCCCTAGGAGGTTCTCATTGCTGGTGTAACCGGGAATTTCTAAAAGTTTCTTATTCAGTTAGCCGAAGTTGATTTGGCCACATATTGATTTCGATTGATTTAAAGAAAATGTCCTTCTTGTTTTCATATGTAAAAGACCCATCCCTTTCCCCGTATAGTCAATCAGTAAATGATAAAACCCGACTCCAATTCCTTCCTCCAAACTTCCATAGTGAAAACTGCTACTGTCTCGTTTGCATTTTGACGAATATTCCCGAAAATTGCATGAAAACCTTCCTTGTTTTTCGCCCTACACGTCAATGTACGAGGGGAAACTGCAAAGTTCGCGACTTTTCCTAGAATAAAACGCAAATTTGGTAAACTGAATCAATTGTATTTAACATAGTCACCCTCAACTGTTCACACTTGTTACAACGTTCCTCCAATTTTTGCAACCCCCGCAAAAAGAACTCCTTAGGTTGGTCCGCAAACAAGATCTCTGCGGCACCAATGACCTCCTGATCGGAAGCAAATCTCGTCCCCTTCCCGTGTTTCTTCAAAGCTGGGAAGAGATAATAATCCGAGGGGGCGAGGTCCAGCGAATAAGCCGGGTGGTCCAACAATTCCAACCCAAAATCCTTGATTTTCTGCTTGGTTTGATGGGCGGTGTGGGCAGGTGCGTTGTCTTGCAGAAAGAGCACCCCCCGACTCAGCTTCCCCCACCGTTTTTCCTTCAGAGCTTCCCGCAATTCATCTAATAGGGACATGTAGTAGGTGGCGTTGATCTCCTGGCCCTTCGGCAAGTACTTTATCAAGATGACACCGTCATTGTCCCAGAACACGAAAGCCATGATTTCTTCGGCCGATTTCTGAACGCGGAACTTTTTCGGCCGGGGAGACCCGCTATGGCCCCATTCTTTGGATTGTTCCTTCGTCTGGGGATCATAATGGTGAAGCCACGTTTCATCCATGGTCACCAAACTGGCCATAAAGTCTTCAGCACCAGCGTGGAACCGTGCCAAAATGGCTTGGGAGGCGATCACGCGATTCCGCTTCTGGTCTGCATTGAGGAATTTCAGAATCCATTTCGCAGACAGCTTTCGCATGTCGAGGATGTTACGGATGACGTGGGAAACCCTTTCCCGGGAAATCTGCAAGATTTCGACAATCTTCTTGACGGAAATGCGGCTGTCTTCGAGGATCAGGTCATGGATTTAATCCGTATTTTCATCTGTCACTGCTGAAACGGGGTGTCCAGAGCGTGGCTCATCTTTTACCTCTAAATGGGCGGTTCGGAAACGTGCCACCCATTTCTTCACCATTGTGAGGGAAGGGCAGTCGTCTAGAGTCGCCAGCATCTCAGAGTGAATCTCCTGCACTCGTTTCCCTTGCAGGAACAAGAACTTCATGACCACGCGCTTGTCGACGTTGCTGAATTCCGGTCCTGGCGCCGCCATCATGAGTTCAAACTGCCGAAGGAAGCAAACTAACGGTCGTAACGGACTCTCACGGCGTGTGCGCTCTAGCGATGACCTCCCCTCACTACATCCCTCGTGGCGCGGCTTTTGCTGTCTTGCGTCTGGGTAAAGTCGCGAACTTTTCAGCACCCCACCGTAAATAAATGTTTCAAAGAATTGCCGTTATAGTGAGCAACAGACAATTTTTGACAATACATCGCGCGCTTGTGAAAAATCGTCGGCGAGAAACAAACCGAGTATGCGTTAAAGGCCAGAAAACATATCAGTGCCTCTCTATTATGGCAGGGTGCAGCAAGATTTTCCGATAAAACGAAGTTTGTGGAGGCTCTTGCCGGAAAATTACATTCGGGAACGAATGGTTCATGAATATAAATAGCATCACTTCCTTTTCAAGGATGCGTTTCTATTTGTTGTAGAAAAAGTGTTCTGAAAGAAACAGGCACTGTTGTGAATCAAATAACATAACAAAATATCTCATACTCACCAATGGAGAATAACCTCAATTTGGGAGTCGCCCATTCGTCGAACTCCACACTCGTGATCTTATTGTTGTGAAGATTGAGTATTTCTAGGCTGTCGCTTTTGAAGGCCGGCACAAAGGTCAATAAATTGTTCTCTAGATAGAGTTCTCTTAATTTGGGAGTCGCCCATCCGTCGAACTCCACACTCGTGATCTTATTGTCTCTAAGATTGAGTATTTCTAGGCTGTCGCTTTTGAAGGCCGGCACAGAGGTCAACAAATTGTTGTAGAGATAGAGTTGTTTCAGGTGTTGGAATACATGAAGAATATGAAATGGAAAGCTCTTCAGAAGACTACTGTAAATACCAAGATCTGCCAGCAAGTGTTTTAAAGGGAGCATGGCTGACGAGTGGACCTTCTTGACTGCAGTGTTGTTTATCGTTATCTGCTGGAAGGAAAGAACCCCAAAGAATCCTTTCGGGAGCTCCACTACTTCTGTATTGTCTTCAATGAGGAATCGCCTGTGTGGAGAAAGACCATGGTGCATAGGTCAACATTCTACTTCTGAATGAATTGGTAGTTTTTTATTAATTAGCAATGTAACAAATTTTCTAAAATTTTCTGATTCTTTGTAAAAATTTTTAAAAAGAAGATATAAAACTGGAATTTCCCAAATCGTTTAGAGAAATTTCTTGCACGGAAATCCCATTTCTCCACGGAAATCCCATTTCGTTTTTTTTCGGCCTTTTCCTCACGTTTACGTTGACCGCAAAGGGTTAACATTTTGAAATGTCAAGCCTTTGTGGTCATATTTATTTTCCACTTGTTATCCCTTCAGGTCATATTTAATTTCAATGAAAAAAGCTAAAAATAAATTATTTATCCAGACTTTTTCAACAAAAATATATGATTCATTCAGACTTTTCCATTAAGTAATCACATTGGACATAAAATTACTTATATTTTTGAACTCCGATCAAAGGACGGCCGGCAAAAATGATATATTTGTGATGTCGGGTGACACCTGACATATGACCGGAACTAATATTTTTTATGTCGGGTCCTGCCCGACACATGACCGCAATGGGCTAAGCCTACGGAGGGTAATTTTTCAATCATATCTTTAAGCGAGCGATCGTTTTCCTCATTCGCTTCGGAAAAGTTTGTTTTGACATTTTACATGAAATTCTCATCATCAANTTTGTTTTGACATTTTACATGAAATTCTCATCATCAAACATGTCTTGTAATATTGACATCTTTAAGAAGCCACCCGCACCTTTAACTTTTGACACGAATCTCAGGGCATTCTTTTCTTGCCCCAATTTTTCTCACAAACATGGCATGAGGATGATTCGGGAAACAGAGTTTGGATCTGGAATGAGCGAAGCCATTGCGACTGTATTTCCCTTTCAGATTCTGGAAAAATGAAAAATGAATGACTACTTCTTCATCCCGTCAGGAGAAGAACTACTCCGAGGCAATGCTAGCTCTGGTGCACGTTTATCATCTACTTGTCATGGGAGCGGGGCTAAATTAATAAGATGTTGGAAGCTTTCTTCCTCTCCTTAAACTATATCTTTAAGGAGACGGAGAGGCGAGAATGTGTCGTGATCTTCTCGATCGTAGTAAGAAAGACATGCTGAGTAATCCCATGACTTAATAATAGTTGCAGCTTTATGTGATGCAGCTGCGCCAAAATCCCACCAAACGAGGACAATTCACAAGGTAAGTATCTTGAATGAAAAGAATACATTTTTAAATAATGAAAGCAATTAAGGTATCCCAGCATCAGACATAAGGTCCAGCGAATAAGCCGGGTGGTCCAACAATTCCAACCCAAAATCCTTGATTTTCTGCTTGGTTTGATGGGCGGTGTGGGCAGGTGCGTTGTCTTGCAGAAAGAGCACCCCCCGACTCAGCTTCCCCCACCGTTTTTCCTTCAGAGCTTCCCGCAATTCATCTAATAGGGACATGTAGTAGGTGGCGTTGATCTCCTGGCCCTTCGGCAAGTACTTTATCAAGATGACACCGTCATTGTCCCAGAACACGAAAGCCATGATTTCTTCGGCCGATTTCTGAACGCGGAACTTTTTCGGCCGGGGAGACCCGCTATGGCCCCATTCTTTGGATTGTTCCTTCGTCTGGGGATCATAATGGTGAAGCCACGTTTCATCCATGGTCACCAAACTGGCCATAAAGTCTTCAGCACCAGCGTGGAACCGTGCCAAAATGGCTTGGGAGGCGATCACGCGATTCCGCTTCTGGTCTGCATTGAGGAATTTCAGAATCCATTTCGCAGACAGCTTTCGCATGTCGAGGATGTTACGGATGACGTGGGAAACCCTTTCCCAGCCAAAATGGCTTGGGAGGCGATCACGCGATTCCGCTTCTGGTCTGCATTGAGGAATTTCAGAATCCATTTCGCAGACAGCTTTCGCATGTCGAAGATGTTACGGATGATGTGGGAAACCCTTTCCCGGGAAATCTGCAAGATTTCGACAATCTTCTTGACGGAAATGCGGCTGTCTTCGAGGATCAGAGAATCCATTTCGCAGACAGCTTTCGCATGTCGAGAATGTTACGGATGACGTGGGAAACCCTTTCCCGGGAAATCTGCAAGATTTCGACAATCTTCTTGACGGAAATGCGGCTGTCTTCGAGGATCAGATCATGGATTTCATTCGTATTTTCATCTGTCACTGCTGAAACTGGCCGTCCAGAGCGTGGCTCATCTGTTACCTCTAAATGGGCGGTTCGGAAACGTGCCACCCATTTCTTCACCATTGAGAGCGAAGGGCAGTCCTCTAGCGTCTCCAGCATCTCAGAGAGAATCTTCTGCGCTCGTTTACCTTGCAGGAACAAGAACTTCATGACCACGCGCTTGTCGACGTTGCTGAATTCCGGTCCTGACGCCGCCATCATGAGTTCAAACTGCCGAAGGAAGCAAACTAACGGTCGTAACGGACTCTCACAGCATGTGCGCTCTAGCGATGGCCTCCCCTCATTACATCCCTCGTGGCGCGGCTTTTGCTGTCTTGCGTCTGGGTAAAGTCGCGAAATTTTCAGCACGCCACCGTAAATAAATGTTTCAAAGATTTGCCGTTATAGAGAGAAACAGACAATTTTTGACAAAACATCACGCGCTTGAGAAAAATCGTCGGCGAGAAACAAACCGAGTATGCGTTAAAGGCCAGAAAACATATCAGTGCCTCTCTATTATGGCAGGGTGCAGCAAGATTTTCCGATAAAACGAAGTTTGTGGAGGCTCTTGCCGGAAAATTACATTCGGGAACGAATGGTTCATGAATGGAACTATCATCACTTCCTTTTCAAGGATGCATTTCTAATTGTTGTAGAAAAAGTGTTCTGAAAGAAACAGGCACTAATGTGAATCAACTAACATCATAAAATATATAATACTCACCAATGACGAATTCCCTCAATTTGGGAGTGGCCCATCCGTCGAACTCCACACTCGTGATCTTATTGTCGTGAAGTTTGAGTATTTCTAGGCTGTCGCTTTTGAAGGCCGGCACAGAGGTCAACAAATTGTTGTTGAGCCAGAGTTCTCTCAATTTGGGAGTCGCCCATCCGTCGAACTCCACTCTCGTGATCTTATTGTTGTCAAGATAGAGAAACTCCAGGCTGTCGCTTTTGAAGGCCGGCACAGAGGTCAACAAATTGTTCTCTAGATCGAGTTCTCTCAATTTGGGAGTCGCCCATCTGTCGAACTCCACACTCGTTATCTTATTGTTGTAAAGATCGAGTATTTCTAGGCTGTCGCTTTTGAAGGCCGGCACAGAGGTCAACAAATTGAAGCTGAGCCAGATTTTTTTCATCTGCAGGAAGGAAAGAACCCCAAAGAATCCTTCCGGGAGCTCCACTACTTCTTCATTTAATATAATGAGGAATAGCCTGTGTGGAGAAACACCATGGTGCATAGGTCAACATTCTACTTTTGAATGAATTGGTAGTTTTTTTTTAATTAGCAATGTAAAAAATATTATAAAATTTTCTGATTCTTTGTAAGAAAATTTAAAAAGAAGTTATAAAACTGGAATTTCCCAAATCGTTTAGAGAAATTTCTTGCATTTCCACGGAAATCCTATTTCGTTTTTTTTCGGCCTTTTCCTCACGTTTACGTTGACCGCAAAGGTTAACATTTTGAAATGTCAAGCCTTTGTGGTCATATTTATTTTCCACTTGTTATCCCTTCAGGTCATATTTAATTTCAATGAAAAGGTTAAAAATAAATTATTTATCCAGACTTTTTCAACAAAAATATATGATTCATTCAGACTTTTCCATTAAGTAATCACATTGGACATAAAATTACTTATATTTTTGAACTCCGATCAAAGGACGGCCGGCAAAAATGATATATTTGTGATGTCGGGTGACACCTGACATATGACTGGAACTAATATTTTTTATGTCGGGTCCTGCCCGACACATGACCGCAATGGGCTAAGTCTACGGAGGGTAATTTTTCAATCATATCTTTAAGTGAGCGATCGTTTTCCTCATTCGCTTCGGAAAAGTTTGTTTTGACATTTTACATGAAATTCTCATCATCAAACATGTCTTGTAATATTGACATCTTTAAGAAGCCACCCGCACCTTTAACTTTTGACACGAATGTCAGGGCATTCTTTTCTTGCCCCAATTTTTCCCACAAGCATGGCATGAGGATGATTCGGGAAACAGAGTTTGGATCTCGAATGAGCGAAGCCATTGCGACTGTATTTCTCTTTTAGATTCTGGAAACATGAAAAATGAATGACTACTTCTTCATCCCGTCAGGAGAAGAACTACTCCGAGGCAATGCAAGCTCTGGTGCACGTTCATCATCTACTTGTCATGGGAGCGTGGCTAAATTAATAAAATGTTGGAAGCTTTCGTCCTCTCCTTAAACTATATCTTTAAGAAGACGGAGAGGCGAGAATGTGTCGTGATCTTCTCGATAGTAGTAAGAAAGACATGCTGAATAATCCCATGACTTAATAATAGTTGCAGCTTTATGTGATGCAGCTGCGCCAAATTCCCACCAAACGAGGACAATTCACAAGGTAAGTATCTTGAATGAAAAGAATACATTTTTAAATAATGAAAGCAATTAAGGTATCCCAGCATCAGACATGAAGTCCAATCGGAGGACGATGATTGGAATTTACAAGACAATGAGAGGGCAGCGCCTTTCCGTGTTATTCTCATAGGGAGGAATCCCGACATTTTCTCGTCTGTTTGCCTGGAGACATGGACTCCGCTCCCACAAGGGGTTTGCCTTTCCCGCGTTAGATGGCAACAGTGTTTCCTACTCTTACCCCTAACTTTCCGACAATTTGGACCTATATTCGAAATATAGGACCTATTTGGACCTATATATTGGACCAAACAATTTGGACCTATATATTGGACCTATATTCGAAATACGATGTTCAAGCGAAAGGTCCTTTTCCTCCTCCGCTTCGGAAAAGTCTGTTATGAACATTCCCTGAAAAATCAAGATGAAGGCGACTTTTTCGTATTGACATTTAGGGCAGCCGCGTGACACGTTCATTTTCCGACCCAAAGGGTAGAGGCCTCCTACTCACCCCTCAAATCCCTACAAATATGACATCATGATGCTTCTTCGGGAAGCAGGGCTTGGATTCCAATGGACATTCCACAAGTATTAGGTTGTTCCGAAATAAATGTCCGATTTTCGAAGTGTAATGTTTTGTCTATCATTATACCTGTCAATTTTGCGATAACCAGTTATTG